AAGAAGTTTTTGAAGTCCAATGATATGTGACTCTGTGGGTGGCGCTCCTTCTGGGTTTTGGGTCTTTTGGGTCTTTCTTGCCTTTTGTTTTTGGGCGGGTGGTGTTGTTTTGTTTTGGTGTATTTCCCTTTGTCTTTTTTGGCTTCTTATGACTTGGTTTGTAAGTCAGAGTTGCCGTATTTTCTCTTGCTAATTGCTTTGTATGGTGACGATTTCTTTTTACTGTCTTTATAAAATTGCCTGGGGAAACTCTTCCCCTTTCAGTAGAATCCTAATGGATAAATTGTCCTGTTAACACGCAAGGGTAGAATCAGATTAACAATGATCCATTAAGTGTAATTTTGACTCAAATGACTCGATTATAATAAATAGGTCCCTTATACCCAATAAGTGTAGATGGACCCATTAAGGACACTTAAGACCCATTATATCTCAATTACTCAAATTAACATCTAGTTTTTGTTTTGGTGACGCTTTTTTTGTCTTTTTAAAATTGCCTGGGGATTTCCTTCCCCTTTCAGTAGACTAATTATAATTATGATAAAACTAGTTATGCAGGGTTTGACTTTTTCTCTCAAGGAGGCATGATCGTATGAAGATGATGTTGATGCTTTTGGTTGCTCCTTGGTGATGTGTTTGCGTTTATGCTTTTCGTCTCGGTTGGCTTGGTGTTCGTTCTTGGTCTTACTTTTGATTCATCCTTCTTCGGTCGAGGATTTCACGGTTTAAGGTTTCACGGTTTCCCTTCACGGCGGTTTTAGGGTTTCGCATTGGAGGGTTTGGTTGAAACGGCGGCTGTGTTTGGCTTTCGTTTCTTCTAGAAGGCTTTTTCCGTTTGGTTTGGTTTGTTTTCGTCCGTGGTTGATGGAGAATTGTGATCGTGTTCGCTTGAGGTGTTTTCTTATTGTTTGATCCCGTCTTCTTCTTCATAGGACGATTAGGGTTTATTGGTTTTTAGGTGGCGGCATTTGGTTTTGGCATTTTGTTTTGGCATTTCGGTTTTAGTTTGGCAACGGCGGCTGGTTTTGTTTCCGTTTTCTTCCTCACAGACCGATTAGGGTTTTAGTTTGGAGGAGGCGTCTTTTGGCCGTTGTTTCTGTTTTGAAGCCGATTAGGGTTTCTTGTCTTGGGTGGAGGCGATTTCGTGTTTCTTCTTTAAAGGTTGGTTTCATTTTGTTTCCCTTGGCTGGTTACTCGTTTGTGTTCTCTTGG